TGACGCATGATGAATATACTCGGAGTTGAGGTTGGTTTTTATGTTCATCCTTGTATACGTAGAACCTTTATGTTAAATTAGTTTGGAGAATAAGAATAACGAGTTTTCCACCTGTAGAGGTACTATAGGCATGTCATTGTGGTGCCAATAGCGTGACACTACCCATAGCAGTGTGATTAGTCAATGGTGTCTCCTTCCGATTTTTGTATGCTCTGATGAGAGCTGACCATGGAATGATGGGTTATCAGGAGGCGTACGGGTCGACCCTATAACTTTTGGAGCTTTGTCATCGGTGTGCAATGTAGTGCCATACGTGCCACTGATTTTGGATACTCATGGAATCGTGAATCAAGTGTATTATGATTTGTTTGGATATCTCGCCTTATCATTTTGCTCTGTGTAGGAAACTCAGTTTGTGCAAAATAACTCTTGTTGTTTCAGCTTAAAATTCTTTGATTACTCGGGAGTTCGGTGGTAATTATGTATTGGAGATGCCTTGGAACCTTACTTTTAATCGAATTTTTCAATTGCGTTATGCTTTGTTGATGTTGAAATCTTAGCTTGTACCAGGCATTTGGCTCACAGTGTGTTTTTCTTCCGACAGATATCTAGCTAAGGAAATTTTGGAGTTTTGTGAAGAGAGGACCACTTGCTTTTGAGGACTTCTATTTATTTGAAGTTAATTTTAGTCTTAATATTTACTTGAGATTTAAGTTTTATCACTGCAACTTTAAGTTAAGTTTTTGTTGGAACTAAGTGGCTTGAATCAAATTTTGACTTTTTAGTGATTCATTATGTTATTTGAAAATTCCATTTCCGCTGATTTGAGGTGCTTCATCAAATCTATACTTTTATTCATGGCTCTAATGAACATATTATAATTCACATTAATAATGTAATAAATTGTAAAATATCAAGTTTGATATAACATTGTCTAACGTTAAAGTTTTTAAATGACAGATTAGTCTTTCAAGTTTGAGATTTACGTATTTTATTATACGTATCATAAATTATGATTATATTCATCTTTTAGTTTTAATAAATTTAATTTTTATGTACTCAATTTATGTAAGTTTGTGATTATTATTAAATAATTTAAAACAAAATAACATATTTAATTAAAATATAAAAACATATATATATTTAACTTAACCAATGAAAAAGGTAAAAGTATACAATGGCCAATAAAATAAAAATATTCATCATCAGAAATAAAAATTTAACAGCAAGAAGCATGTAAAAAAGATGAACAACGTACCTTTGCAGTTTTCTAACTATGTTTGGCGATTGTGGTAGGAGCAACCCTTATACATAACATGATAATTTATGATAAATGTGATCTTCCTGCACCAACTGAAATTGCGACAAAAGTGTAATGGATTGGAGAAAAAACACACCAGCAAAGCGAATGTTGTAGAAAGTCTTTGTTTACAGTATTATATTAAAAATATTGTTTATGAATGAAAGATTTTAATCTTTTGTTTTCGAGAGCGTTGGACCTTAATCTCAACTTATTCATGACCCATGCCTAAAATTTGATTTAGATATAATTTGAACGATGTTGAATACGTATAATCTAATTGTGTTGGTAAAATGTCAAAAATAACATAGACGATACATTAGTATGAATAGTCTAATGAAAAGAGCTCACGAGTATTTTAGTTGACTGTTTAATTAAAAATTAAACGTGTATTTCAATATCAGATATTGTAGAAAAGTTTAAAAAGACAAAGAGAAGATATGATAATATGAAAGATTAGCCGAAGTGTTGAAGTTATCTTTGCACTCATACGTTAAGAAGGGACGAAAGTGTTAAACGTTAAGATGTTTCCAAAAAGTTTAGGTTTTTATTTCGAGAACTTTTAGAGACAGTTTGATACAGGTTGAAGAATGAAAATAAGGATGAAAATGAGAATGAATTTTCATTTATTCCAATATCTGTTGGAATAAAAACTTATGCTCATGGGGAATGGGTCCATTATATTATATAGTGCCAAACGTTTCCTTATATTAATACTTCTAACCAAACACCCTCTAAAATCTTTGGTGATGTTTGAATCTCTAATATCCTAGGAGACCAAAAAACTACGATATCGCTAGGTCAAATGCCCTTTGATATCATACCTTAAGTTGTTGTCAGATACCAAACATATCTTCATATTAGATACTGCAAGAAAAAACCATTGTACATTATCTCTTATATTTTGTTATTAAATAATAAAAAAAGTCAATAAAAGGTCGTTTAATATATTTTTTCATGATTAAAGTACAAATATAAAAATTAAAAAAGAAAACTAAAGATACAACGAACATTACAGAGGGAGACAAGGTTGGAGGGTCCGTTTGAAAGGGGACGACATAATGGGAGATGGAGGGTAGGGAAGGGGACTGACAGTCGAGGGGAAGGGAGTGATCCGGTTGGTAGGGTGGATCGGGACTAGTGATCACTATCATTTAATAACAGGATTGGTTGTGACATATACTATACATATTATTCATGCATTAATTTATTTTTTCAGTATTCTAAATTAAATTTCAAATAAATTTACATGCAAGAGTTCTTCTAAATTTTAGATTAACTTTTGTTTAATTCATAAAAGTTTGAAATTGAATGGCAAGGTGTAATTGTCACTTTATCACATTTTTGGAGGCCATTTTAGTCATAATTGGTCTAAATAACATTTACAAAATTTTTGACTAGACCCATTTGACATCATCCCTTTTCATTTGGTGATTATTAAAAACTTTGACCAAACTTTTTTTTACCAAAATTACCCTTTTCTCATTATAAATGTAATCATGGTATTTTGATATAAACATACTTGTTTTATGTCATTTTCCTTATTAAATTATCTTATTTCCCATTAAGGGATTTTCAACACTGATTACAATTCAAAGCAAACAAATCTCGTAAATCCTATTCAAAAGCAGAATCTAAGAAGTTGGAATGTATACAAACCTGTCATCTATGTCAATAAATCCGAATCCCCTCCGCCCCCGATTAATGCAAGGGTGTGAACTAACGGCAAAAAATGATTATTGCATTAATTTTTTTTTTTATCAAAAAAATGATAGAAAAGTCGACTTAAATGACCCTACAAATTAATTTTGTAATATATAACAAATAATATATTAAATAGCAATAATAATAAAAGATACCCATGAAGGATGTTTCGTTTTTCTTCTTAGCTCCTAGATAGATATTAATTATTTAATTTAAATATAAAATAAACAAATCATTATTAAAAATTAAGTTAAAAGTCAAAAAAGAGACAATTTAGAGGTCATAAACTACCACCTTCAACAATTGAATGCATCATTTTATAGAAAAAGCTGCAACTTTGAAAGTTGAAGTCTAACCAATATTACTCGGAGTTATGGAATTTCCATTTGTTTTTTTTTTATTACTAATTTCAAGCTTTGAAAATCACACCTTAATTATTACTATATATTTTAATTATTTAAATAATGTTTTTAAATTTACATTTTTAACAATATTGAAAAAGGATTTACCATAAAATTAGAAAAAGAAAAAGAAAAAAGAAAAAGAAAAAGAAAAGAAAATATGATAATTCTTTATATGTTTATTTTTACAAAATCTGTAAATAATTATTCAATTATCAACTATAATTTTATTTGACGTTTTCATACACAACAACACTTATTTTCAAATTTATTTTCGTACCATTCAACTTGCTATGAGTGAGACAACGACATTAAGTCTATAAGTTCGAAAATATTATGTTTTAAACAGAAAAAAATATATGTAAAAAAGTATATTGATTGATAAGAAAACAAATTTAAAAAACATTGTAGATGATTTAATTGTTCGGGTTCTCTTTTGGAGAAAAATAGATGTATTCGTTTTACATTTATCAGTGGTAAAAATATACATATTGATTTAATCAAGCATTACAAAGTCATACATAAAAATAGTTATTCAAATCAATAACATAGCGAATTAGTAATTTATTAATTAACTTGATTAATATGTAATGAAATTTTCTTTTGAATATTTGACGATTCTGATATACTTAGAAAAAATATCTCAGATTCAGTTTCTTAACTCATTTGCATGATTCAAATTCATTAAAACTTGAACGCTCGTCATTTTGATACCGTTCAAAACATTCCAAAAACAAAATAATAAGTTGAACGACATGTTATTTTTGGTTAGAAAAGTTTGAAAATCGTATAAATTAATAAATGTATCAGAACATCTCCAACATATTCCCTAAAATGAAAAAAACAGAGATTTTGCATATTCCTAAAGGTATCTCCAAAATGGAGAAAATAAGAGAATGTTTTTTTTTCTACAAATATGGAGATTACCCAAAAAAAATGATTATAATGTGAGTGAAATATCTTTTAATAGATTTTTTTTACCAATATGAAATTTTGAAAATAATTATTTAGAGAGAGAAATAATATTTTAATAGATGAACGAAATATTTTAATATTACAATTAATGTTGGATTTTTCAAAATGGAGAATCAGTTGATATTTTAACTTTTAGTTCTTTATTTTGAAATAAATATCTTAAAATAAATGTCTAAATTACTATTTTAGTTTGACTTAAAATTAGTGTCAAGTTTCACTATAATTGGAGTAAATTTATATTTTTACTGATAAAAAAATATAATAATTATATATTTTTAAATGTATATAATAAATATTTATTATAAAACAAGTAGAAAGAATAAAGGGTGAAATTGGAGCAAATGGAATAAAAGTTAAAATGGTAACATTGATGTAATCGTTGCAACCGTTGGTTGAAGGGACGCATCAAAACAGGGCCCGCTGATCTCCATGTCTTTCTCGCTCCTTTGTATTCCCATGGTTGCTCCACCCACTAGAGAGAGAAAGTCATATACTACTAGAAGACAGATGGTCTAGAGAGAGAACCCAAACCCGATGTCCACTTTCGGATCTATTCGTTTCTTGGAACGCTCTATCCCGACTAGTGGCCTTATTTTGATCAATTTCTCCTGAAGTCAAAATTTGTCCCTTTCATAATATTTATACAATTCACACAGGTTTTATCGAGGGAGAGAGAGAGGGGCTGTTGAAGAACTGAAGACTCACACTTCTTCAATTTCGATGACTACAAAGGTTAGAATTTTTGTCTCCCATTTACTATGATCTTGAATTTCATATGGTTGTTTGTTCAACTTAGTTTTATACGGATTGGTGTTCAAATCTGCAAAAGTTTTGTTAATATTAGTTTATTGGAAAATTCGAGTTCATCAAGAAAAATCCCATTTTTGGATGATTGGTTTATCCGTTACATCTTTGGATAATCTGTTGATATAGACAAACAATATTTGGGTGATTGGTATATCGAGGATAATCTAATTCTATTGTTCGATGCTTGGTTTGTTTGAATAATAACCTATCATGCTTGAAGTGAGGGTGTTAAGGTTGTTGTCATGTTCGTCCTTTTTAAAAAACAAGTTGAATTTCGTTCTATTGAAGTTTAATGGTCCCTACTAAATTATGTTTTTGTTTCATTATTTGGCGGGGTTAGGTTTTGACAAGGTGAAATTATAAGAATTGAAGATGGGTAGTTGCAGTGAAGAACAAGAAGATGATTTCTTTGATGCCCGTGAGGTGTTCGCTTCAATGTCTGACTCGGGTTCCGATTGCTCACCAGAGGACTGTTCTACTTCTGGGTTTGGATATGATTATTGGGTTGGGAATCTGGATAGTGTCGATATTCGTCGGGATAAACTCTTGAGATTCATGGGTTTGAATTCTAGATGGCTTGTAAGAGACCCAGAAGAGGAATATGAAGATGATTTTGTTGATGAAATAAGAGAAGACACCATGCTTGTAAAATCAGACTTTCAGGATGGATTTTTGTATAGGCAGCCATCTTTGTGTGATTGGTCAAATAAAGGCATGGAGTTGGTGACTTCTGGTTCTGTGAAGGATCATCTCGTAGTCAAAACTGGAAACTGGGACGAATCAGGTGAAGACATGTTGATGAAAAGATCATTTGACTTCGATGGTTCCAATGAGATGAAAGGAAATCTTGATTCATCTTCTCAGCGTTCATCACAAAGAGAACGTGAAACCGTTGGTTTGTTAGATAGGAGAAAGAAATGGAAGAAGGGTTGGCTCCAAAAGCTAAATATTATGGCTAGAATCACAGATAGACAGGAGGATTCAGTGAGTTTGAAGCCCAAATACACAAATTCAAAGGGGAGTGGTTGTGGTCGCTCAGTTCATGTACATACACACAAAAAGAAATCAAAAGAATTATCATCCCTTTATGCCACACAAGAGTTTCCAGCACACAATGGCGCTATCTCCATGATAAAGTTCAGCCATGATGGCAGATACTTGGCAAGTGCTGGTGATGATGGTATGGTGCGCATTTGGGAGATTTTTGAAGATCAAGATCCAAGAATATATGAGATTCAAGGAACCGATCCTTCATCTTTTTCCTTTTCAACTAATCATCTCTCTGAATTAGCCCCTCTCCAAGTGGATAAAGAGAAAACCCGTAAGATTAAAGGTTTCAGGAAATCATCAGAACTGGCTTGTGTTATTCTACCACCTAAAGTCTTCCGGATCTTGGAGAAACCTGTGCATGAGTTCCATGGGCATGGTGGCGAGATATTGTCCCTCTCGTGGTCTAGAAAAGGGGTTAGTAACTTGGTATCATCAGATTTTTCAATTCTAGAAGACACCCGCGATGCATAATCTTAACAAATGCCTGTTTTATGATACAGTATCTTCTATCATCTTCCGTTGATAAAACTGTTCGAATGTGGCAAGTTGGACACGATGAATGCCTCAAAACTTTTACCCATAACAACTATGGTGAGTGGTGGCTGGTTTATATTCTTTTCCAGTATGCATTTAATGATAAATCGGATTTTAAGTTTGCATATGTTTTACCTGCAGTGACATGTGTTGAGTTTAATCCGGTGGATGACAACTATTTCATCAGCGGCTCCATAGATGGTAAAGTACGAATCTGGGATGTCCATCGTTGTCAGGTTATCGATTGGATTGATATTGGCGATATTGTCACTGCTGTTTGTTATTATCCAGATGGGAAGGTTTGTTTCATTCATCCAATCTTTTTATGCTTTTTGCTTCTTTAAATTTTACTTAAAAAATGTAATATTTATTTGCTTACTATAGGGAAGCATTGTGGGAACCTTAGATGGCAAATGCAGTTTCTATGATATCATCGGTATGTAGATTTTACCATAAAACTCGACTCATGTTTACAAATATTCCATTGATGTAAATTGAATAATTGATGAACTTCTTCTCAGATGATCGGCTGCAATTGCGTACTCAAATATATTCAATGAGTAAAAAGAAGTGGACAAAGAGAATAACTGGATTTCAGGTATTGACAATAATGTTCATATTCTTTTTATTTGTTCATATCTTTTTTGTAACGTTTGCTATAATATTGTAATGCTTCATTTTTCAGTTTTGCCCGACCGACTCCAGGAAAGTTATTGTTTCGTCAGCGGATTCACAAGTGAGAATCCTTTGCGGAATCAACCTCGTAGGCAAATTCAAGGGTATGTTGGTACATTTATCATCAACCACATAAATGAATCTTAAACCATGTGGATGATCAACTTTCGTATCTGCTAAAAAAGCTAATATGACACTTTATTTCAAAAGTATCTTGAAAAACATGTTAATACCTTTATATAGGACGCACAATTGTTTGGTCTTATAACATATAGGGGCTGTTTGGTTGGTTTTCCATTAAGTTGTGTATGAATAAAGTTGTTTATGTGAAGTAATCTGTTTACATAGATTAAAAATGATTTTATTTGTAGAGTTTTTTCATAGATATAAGGAGCTTGTTCTTTAACTGGGACAAATTTGTAAAAGACTTGGCCTTTTGTATAAAGCTCCATTCTAGAAATATACTGAATACGCCACTTTCTATATCATTTAGCCACTACCAAAATAGCTGACCGAATAAGATGTGAGGGGCTGTTTACCAAATTTTCTATTAAGTCCTGTATGGATAAATTTGTCTGTCTCGATAAATTTGGCTGTCTGGATAAAGTTATGTTGCTGTTTACTTTTCTGTCTAAATCAACAGTCTGAATAACAGAAATGACCAATTTACCCTTGAGGATTAACTATGGGCATAGAGCAGATACTAGTAGCAATCGATGGATCAAACAAACCCAAAAAATCGAGCAGATACTAGCAGCAATCGATGGATCAAACAAACCCAAAAAATCGAGCARATACTAGCAGCAATCGATGGATCAAACAAACCCAAAAAATCGAGCAGATACTAACAGCAATCGATGCATCAAACAAACCCAAAAAAATCGAGCAGATACTAGCAACAATCGTTGGATCAAACAAACCCAAAAAATCGAGCAGATACTAGCAGCAATCGATGGATCAAACAAACCCAAAAAATCGAGCACATACTAGCAGCAATAGAGCAGCAATAGAGTAACAATCGAGCACCGATCGAGCAGCTAGGGTTCTAAAAGCAAATAATCTATAGATAAAGAGGAGAAGTAGTTACCTTTGGAGAAGAGAGACTCGATTTGAGGAGACAAATAATCGGCCGATTAGGGTTCTTGGAAGAGAAGAGGGCGTTGATTCTTGGAGGAGAAGAGAGCGTTGATTCTTGGAGGAGAAGAGAGGCGTGGGTTGGAATGAAGGGTAGGGAGTGTCTTTTTTTTTGGCTTAATGTGGACAACGCATGGTAGCCATCTGGGCGAATAAGCCCATGTCTGGGCGAATAAACCCGAAGTAAACACCCTAAAATGACTGTGCGAATAAGCCAATTTATCCATTAAGCCTCAAGTAAACAGGCCCTGAGTCTCACTAAGCTCATTAAGCTGTTAACAAACAGACCTTTAGACATATATGACATTCTATGAATTGATTTTGTTGTAATGAGTTAATGTTGTACTATTAATCATTTGATTGTTGAAACTTGTATGAGGCAGGGAATAGAAGTTCAGGAAGCCAAATGTCGGCATGCTTTACAGCCGATGGAAAACACATAATCTCAGCTGCTGAGGATTCAAACGTATACGTGTGGGACCACACTAGCGCCGACAAACTCTTTACGAAACCCAAAAGCAATGTATCATACGAAAACTTCTCATCACAAAACACAACAATGGCCATACCCTGGTGTGGTATCAAAAGCATAGCAGCAGCACTTCCATCCCCAAGATTTGCATCAAATAACAATAACAATACCAATAATGTCGTCGTTCCAAGAAGCACGATAGATTCACCCAGAATGCCGTCGCCATCAACCAACCGTGGGTTTTTCTTGGAGTCGTTGCTGAAGGCACCGCCAACATGGCCGGCTGAGACACTCCCGGATTCAACACAAGTGTGTGTTTCGCCTTCGATGCGTAAATCAGAGTACAGGTTTTTGAAAAGTGCGTATCAAAGCACTTTTGTGGCTCCACATATGTGGGGTATCGTCATTGTTGCAGCTGGTTGGGATGGGCGGATTAGAACGTACCTGAATTACGGGTTACCGGTGCGGCTGTGAAACCTTGTGTTAGTACATAATATAGATCATTTTACAAGAATTACAGTTATACACATGTATACTTACGAATATGGTTTCTGATCAAAGAAACTGATTTGGGGTTTTCTTTTTTTCGCTTTGGGTTATAATTCGATGTATATGCCCAATGCTGTTAAAGAATGAGGTTTTAGCCTTGTTGAACAGAAATAAAAGCAAGAATTTTTGGATTCATTTGTACGAGTGGCTTGGTTAAGGTAGCCCATCAGAGTCATAGATCCAACTTAAGATGGCCAAAATTCGGTCTGGACGGTTATGGCCCGATGGTCGGGGACCTGTTACATTTGTTAAAATCATTACGAAAACTTATGTCACAAAAGCTAATTCTTTCATTAACAAGTTTAGTAACCTAAACCAGAAGATATCGAGATGTCATATTTATAAATGAAGCATTGGAAATGCATGGAGCCAAGGGCTTTGTATCCGCTAGTTGAAGGTCAGACGAGATTTTTCTGGGTATAATCTCGTCACTTGTGACACGTTCACTAACAAAGTAGTAGTCCATTTCAACGTGTTTGGTATGTTCATGGAACATGGGGTTTTCGGCCATGTCACAGGTTGCTTTGTTATCACAAAACAGGGGTGTACGACCAAAAGTGAAAAACTTCCAAGTCCTTGAGTAGTCAACATAGCCATAATATCTCACCAACTGTAGTGGCCATGGCACGGTATTCGGCTTCTACAGACGATCGTAAGACAACAGAAGGCTTCTTAGTGCGCTATGAAACCGGAGCACCACCAAGTGCAATGAAGTAACCGTGTTTGAGCGTAGGGTGAAGGCGCAACCACCCCATTCGATGTCACTGTAGGCCTCTAAATTAAGTCCTCCATGAATCCCCAGGCCAGAGTCATTTTGAGGTAACGAATAATGCGAATGGCAGCTTGCATGTGAGTTTGACGAGGATCGTTGAAGAATTGACTTAATCGATTTACGGAGTAGACAATATCAGGTCTCGCGACCGTGAGATACAAAAGACGACCTATCAAAAACCACAAGGGTGGGGCCTGATTGGTTTGAGTTTGGCTCCAAAGGTCAAAAGTACCAGGAGGTCTCGGGTTCAAATGCGATGACTCCGGGCTATCTACAATTAGGCTAAAAGATTCAAGGTACCGACTTAAATTGATTAACCCAACTACGATAAACAATTAAATAAAGTTTTACACAAATGGAATTCGAATGATATGAATATGTTCACTTTGTCAATACCTGAAATCCAGTTCATCATTAATGGCTTGAACTTGATCTTGTGCATGTCGAATCGCAGGTGCCCGAGACACATCATGTCGTCAATTATCATCTGTATAAACAAGGCATCCGAAGACAGGAAAATGATCATAAGTTGGCTGTTCTCCCATCACCATTTCATGCGGGGTTTTGTTGTTTATTATCTTCGATGCAATTTCATAACGACCCCAAACATCACAATGTATCAAATCGAAACTAGAATATGATTTAATACAACTATTAGGGAAAGGTAAACTTTATGATCAATGGGTTTTGAAAGTTTGGTTTTTTTTTATTAATCTGGATATCCAATCCGCTATACGAACCGACTAATTTTCACCATGTAAGTGGTTTTCATTACATGTGATGTGGTCCCTGGCTCTAGAGATGATTAAGGATTGGTGCAATCAAACTTACCACTCATATTGGCTATTGGAACTTGATCATTGTGCCAATTATTTGAACTAGCACTAGAAATTTTATGCCTTTTGAGAAAGTTGCCTAATTTTTGCTTTTGCACGTAGAGAACAGTTGAAAGCGTAATCTTGTATGGAAGAACTATCTGCCTTATATATCACCATGTGAATTAAATGTATGGGGATCCTTGTCACTTGGGGATAATAAGAGTTTACGTTGACTTTAGAACCTTTTGGAGCGTCCTTTTCATCGTTCAAAATAAAAGGACTTGTCTTTGATCATTCCTTGCAATGTAAAATCAAGAGCATATTAGAACAAACATATCTTTTCATGTGCTTCAATTTTTTTTTTGTCAAGGACAGGATTGGTGAGATTTAGTCAAAAAAAAGTTGTGCAGGCATATCTTCACATCGACCGACGGATAGTCAGGACTCAAGAGGACTACGCAATCAAAACATATCGACTGGAGAAATATCTATGCGCAAGTTGGAGAGTGCATCTCGATCGGCATCAGTTGATGCACTTCTTAGGATATCGGCTAGTCTTCGAGTCGCCAAACTCTTTTAGTACATACCAAGCTAACTAAGAGAACCAAAATATATCATAGTACAAATGCTAAGAATTTAGAGGAAAAGATCGGAAGGTCATCCATAAATTATCGATGACCCAACGAATATGTTGTCCCAAAATTTTATGTCTTATCCATCACTTAGATGGATAGATATTATAGAGACAATAAAGATGAACTAAATAATATTATATCAAATAAAAATGATATGACATGTTTTTACATGATTAATATGACAAGGAAAAAACCTGAATTTTCGGACAACATAATTTTATTCTTGACCATGGGTCCGTTCTGGACAAGAAATTGTCAGTATATACTATTTACTAACATGGCTCCATCCAATTATTCGTAACATTTAATGTCTTTATGTAAACATTACTCTTTATTTTTTCAAAGCAGCATATCATAATGTTCCTTCTATAAAATATAATAATTAATGACTTAATCATTTACATGTTCATGGGATTAACTCATCAGATATCCTCATCATCAGTAAATATTGACCCGGTTCCCCCTCGAGTTCGTTTGATTTTGGATCATGATTTGATCATAATGGGGAAAAACTTGATTCTAGTTATTTAGAACCATAAAACTGTTAGTTATTGTCGCTTTCGATCTTATAAAACTTCAATTCACCATTTTCTTTTTATTTTAATTATAATTTAAAAAAATATTGTTATAGGATGAATGTGTTATCGTCGTAAAGGATATGACGATATAGATAGATATATAAGAGTTAGATTAGAAGTAAAATATCTCGTAGTTATGTACTTGTAACTCATCTCTATAAAAAAGGCTTATGACTAATGAGAATTACATATTCATTCTCTTTATTCTATTGTTGTTCTTTTTCAGTTATTCTATAACAAATATCAAATTTTTGTTCAAGAGCAATATAAGCAGCATCCGCACAATATTTTCCATGCATAGTGTGAACTATTTTCCCTTTTACGAAAATCCACTTTTGTCTAAATTTACTGAGGCAATTTTGAACCATCCAAAAATTGCCTTTGACTACTAGATTAATTATATGCACATAACAACGTATATAAAATAATAAACTATTTACGATATGGGGTTCATAATCAATGTTAATTTTGGTATATACATGACGTATTAGTGGGGTTATCAAATGAACTATAGAATATTGACAGCTGAAACCAAAAAACAAGACGAAATCAAGAATTATAGTAACTATTGATAGCGTTATTTGCGTTTGAGAGTATCGTAATTTTCCGACATCCCACAACACCTATGTATACTTTTCGGTGGTCAAAGTGACAAAAAAATGACGAAAAAATGGTCTCCAACAAGTCAACAACTATATTTTATAAAAACTCAACGATGCAAGTTTCTCATGTTTTTTTTTTAAATTTTCAAAGTTTTTCAAGTTCAACATCTACTAAATGTCGTAGTTAAACTGTAGAATGAATAAAAAACTCATTTATCTCCTTTCTCTTTAGAGTTTTAGCGAATTTTTTATATTAAGAGTTTTTTCTATGATTCTCTATTTTAGAGAATAAGATGACAGAGAAGATGTTGGAGCACTAAAGAGAACAAAACGTTGATTTTCTCTATTTTAAAGAAGTTGTTAAAGATGCTCTAGATACAGATGTATTTAACAATATATAGGAATGCATGCATCTAGCCCACCTAAAACATATTATTAGTCTTCTAGAAAAACAATTCAACAAGTAGATCTTTTTAAAAACATATTTAGGCCTTGATTGCTTCTTTTTTTTTTTTTTTTCCATTTTCAACTCTTAATTATCACTTATGTCTGATTCGTTCAGACTGTTTGTTTTTTTATTATTTTCAGAGTCTCTTATCACTTAATAGGATCTGAATAAATAAGAGGTAAACCAATATCTTAATTCCTCTAATTTTTCTTCTTCTTTGATTCTCTTTGGTGGTTGTTTTTTTATCCACCAAGGACGCCACCGTCCTTTCATCACCCATGTGAAATGCATGCCTCCACCTTCTCTCTCATCACTCATGTGAAATGCATGCCCCCACCTTCTCTCTCTCTCCCTCTCTCTCTCTCTCTCTCTCTCTCTATATATATATATATATGTGTGTGTGTGTGTGTATATATATATAATTTTTGTATATATAAGTTAGCTTAGACGATTAATGTGAAACAAAAACTTCTATCGGCGATCTATCATCTACCAAAAGTATCGATTTTTTCACAAAAAAACTCACCGGCAACATTCCTGATAGCATCAAAAGTCTGAAAGGTATCCAAAAGGTTTTTACTGTATTTCATCTGTTAAACAATTGTTGAGATGAATTTCGGCAATTGAAATTTTATGAAAATCAAGAGAATTTTGCAAAATGTTTGCATTTGATTTTACAAAAACAAACTATAGATTCGGATTTTAGACTTCAGACTATTGTCAGTTTCCAAAAACAAACAGTCATATTGATTTAGATTTCAGACTTCAGTACCACCTCTTATTAATTAAAAATAAAATAAAACTTCATATTTCAAAACCTTAAAAAAAACAAACGCGACCCTGATATTTTAGCCTCACAAAATGCAATGATGGAATGAAGAAAACAAGTGGAATGATGATAATTAAAGCCAGTTCAATAAAATTCTGAAAAGCCACTTAAGCGGTGTACCACCTTTCAGAAATAAAGCCTATCATCGTATCATTTTTATATTATATTCCATTCCATTCAAGTTCACCTTTTTAATAAAAGGAAAAGTTGTATCAAAATGAAATCAATTTTTACTTGATTCATATTTTGGAGAACCAATTTTAAAAAACGTAATTTAGGGTTCTATATCAAACTTTTTATTTATTTAAAGGTCTGGTTGATCAATTGAACATGTAACAGGTAATTTAA